GGGCTGGTACTGCATCTTCAGAAGGCTGGAGAGGATTTAAAAAACATTCCAGAGGACAGCAGTAAGTGAGATCTGTGGTCTGGTAAATACAGGTATGGAAGAAATGAGCTTCCTTTGTTTAAGGAGAAAAATGCTGTCGAAACAAAGAAAGTGGTGATGAAATCATCCACGGTGGGTGTGCAGGAAAGGAGTAATAGGTTTAAGGTGCAGCAGCGAGAGTTGAGATAATCTTCCCAATGATGAGCAGAGTTAGATTCTGTGGTAGATTGTCTTGCCAAGGAAGTTTTGAGATTGCCATGATCACAAGGTGGGAGGTTATTTATTTAATTTTTATTTATTTTTTGAAAAACGGGCTAGGCAGACATCTCTCCAGAGAGGTTTAGGTAGAGATGATCGTGTTTCAGTGTAGGAGGATGAACTCGATGACCGTGTCACATCCCCTCCAGTCCTGGTTTCTGTGACTCAGCCACGGCATCTGCAGTTATAGGTTTGTTCTTGTACAAAGAAATTTTTTTTTGCTGTGTATTTCTACAGTTCTCTGAAATGAAAAAGTCTGTACGTGTTCTTCTTTCTGTCATAAGCTTTGACGCTGGCAGGCAGTTCACGAAGGAGCTGGGCTGTGTTTTGAAGAGTTCATTGTCTTGCAGGTTGTAGGTTGTGTTGTACGTGACTGATAAAAGATCTTTCCTAGCATTAAAGCTGGTCACAGCCCCAATAAATCTGGAACAAATTCTGAGAAAGCATGTCATGTTATGACTGGCATATCTGTGAGCATGGAGCTCTGCTTGAGAATTAAGACTAAAAGTTTGTGAAGTGCTGGTGCTGATGTCATTCCCTTGGAATGGAAAGGCTGTTGAAACAGTAAATACTTTCTGTGGCCAGAAGCTAAGTCTTGAGCTGGACCTTTTCCTCTCCGCAAAGGAAAGAATGCAGAACAAACCTAAAATGTGTATTTGCAATGGGAAAATCTTAATTAGTTTAGAGCTTTTAGCTATTTCAAACCATTTACATACACAGCTGCTGTTAATGCAAACATGAAAACTATTCATGGAAACTTCAAACTTACCTTGAAATGACATGGGTTTTTTTTCTTTTTCCTTGTTTTTTTGAAGCTGTGCTTGGTGTTCAAAAGTATGGTCGGAAAGGTCTGAAAATTATACTTGTACTGTACGTGCAGAAAGAAACATAGGCGCAGGCTAAGAGAAGCATATAAGAAAAGGCTTTAGTTCAGCAAGACTTAACACTGAAACCCTGTTAGCACCAAACAGCTGCTGGGAAAGCATTTAATTTTTAGGTGCATTTACTCTTGGTTGTATCTGTGGAGTTTTGATTATGACCCAAAACTCAGGGGTGGGAAGAGAGAAAAAGAAAAAAAAAAAAAGATGACCAAAATGCAAACTGAGTTGTGGTCCAGGTCTTAACAGCTGGCTTCTCTGCTGCGAAAGGTTAGTATGAAACATTGGATCCAAATAACCCACAGCCTGGGGATGAGAACCTAATGCTGTAGCCTGGGACAGCTATAATATCTCTCAGACACTGAGATCTACAAGATAACTCAGATTTTTGGACTGTCCCTCAGAAGACCCCACTGAGCATTCACAAGGAATTCATCCCCACCCCCAGCTTCCTCCTAGGAGGAAGAGTTTTGCCATGGCAGATGTGGGGAACAGATGTTGAGAGGAAAAGTTATAACGGGACGATGACCTGAAGTGTTAGTTGGGCTCTTCCTTGACGTGACTGAACTCCTGTTCCCCATGGCAAAGCAGGAAAGCAGCGTGTCCACTGCTGGTCTCTGCACACCCCGGTGTTAACGTCGGGCGGTTGACATACAGAGCTTTTATGTGTTCCTGTCAGATACTCAGTGCTCAATTAGCTGAGGAAGAGACAGATTTAAAAGCAAACCGGCTGCCTGTTGTCCAAGGACAGTTAGTGCTAAGTAGGTGAATCATGCTCAGCCACCCACCACCTTTCCTGAGCAGCTGTAGGTAATTTTTCTGAATTTTAGTCTCCTGTTTTACATCAAGGCTTCCCCTTTCCTTCCTTCTGTTCTCCCCTGCCTTTCCACGACAGTGTCTGTGATGTCTGGGAGACGCTCATGCTCCTTGTCCCTAAATGCTCCAGTGAGCCGATCTAGTAGAAGAGTCCTCAGTGGCTGATGAGTAACAATAGTAATGAGCTAGGAAAAAAGGCTTTTCACCAGTTCTGTATTATCAGCATAGAGCATACAAGATTTTTATCTTATGTGATGTTGAGGTTGACTCTGAATGTGTTATGAGAGACGTTGGCAGGTAAGACCAGCTCCCTACTAAGGCAGGGATTCACAACAGGTCTCTCTCTCCTTAGCTTAGTCTAGCTCAGGAGACTGTGAATAATTATGTTTATTACTGAAAGGAGATCAACCATCCATAGAAGCCTGAGAATTTTTATGGCTCTTGAAACGGGAAGCTGAGTATTTGAAATACTGCAAGATGACGACAATTCTGTGAGCTACTTTCTCGCTCCCAAAAAGGTTGGCTTCAGTTTTATTAACAAGTTTTTCCAGCGGGCAGTTTTGCAGTTGGTTTTTTTGTTGTTTTCTAGCTTTCAGACAGAGATTGGGCTTGATGACCTCTCTTGAGGTCCTCTTCACTCGTGCGTATTTATTGCTTTCTGTCTTTAATTTTATATTTGCTCTGTTTTCACAGGGCATTACCTATTATTCATGGGGGTTTTTTGGTTTTAATTCAGCGCGGGGCTCTGAGGCACACGCTGTCCTTTCCATGCGGTACAGTGATTTCAAAGCTTGTGATGAAAGGGCACTCCTCACTATAGACTTTTCTGTCTTTGCTGCTGTTATTGTAAAATGATTCATGGCATTAGCAAATCAGCGACACGGGATACGTTGGCTCTATGCACGTGAAATGGTTGGGGTGTGTGCCGTGTGTGCAAGTGATCCCTTGCACCTGCCCCGTCTCACGTGTGAACGCTCGGGAGGTTCAGCACGGGGGATATCTGGCATAGGTGGTCAGCATATGTGCACCGTCTGATCCATCTTAGTCTTTAGAAAATGGGATGCAGCGTCCATCCATATATACGTATTATTCGACAACTTTAATTCTTAATTTTTGTTGCATTCACATTGTCACCTTAGGTCTGTGTGTGTGTCCCATTCTCTCTCTCCCTGTCCCCAAAATCTTTGAAGAAGACTTCTCTTCTTCCACCTCCAGCTTATCTGTATAAACTCTTGGTGGCATAAATATCCAGTGTCCACATAATAGTCCTTAATAACTCAAACCTACAGTGCATCTGGTACTCAGAGCTTTCTCCTTGTGAACAAGCTACATATTTGGGGACCTGATATAAGAAATTTCCTTTGCAGAACTCTTTATTGAGAAGTCTGATGTACTACTTTTTCAGTTATTTATTTGCTGGGTATACCCAACTCCCTTAGGTCTTAAAGTCAGTTCCTGTATTTGGAGCAGTTTGAACCTTCAGCCCTGACCTGCAAGGGTCAGAGGACTTAGTTACTGTACAAAGCGATCGTTCTTCACGGGAGAGAGAAGTGAGATTTCTTTGGGCTTCAGGGTTTATTTTCCTCTCCTGCTTAGTGTGACACAGATAGCATCCTTGCTAGAAAGCAGAGAGAGGAAAGAAAATTCAGTCCACATGTTTGGGATTTAAGGTTGAGAATGATTCACACTTAGCTTCTGGGGGTTGTAATTAGGGGTGACATAATAACCATAAACTTTCAATAAAATAGTAGCAGCATTTTTGTTACACTCTGTAGCTGCAGAAGCTGCTTCTGATTAGCATCCCTTCGAGATAAGCCTACAGGACCTCCGCAGTTTCCAGATCTGGATCCAGGCTTTTGTGGCACAGTCCTACTTCTGTACCGATGCTGAAGGGAGCCCTGAATTCTGAAACACCCCAAACTTTGATGACATTTTCACTTGCATCAGCATCTCAACCTTTTCCTTAGCCATTTTAGTCCATCGGTGCATTTTTTCAAGTCAGTAGTTTCTTATGCTGGCTAAATCCTGCCAGTTTATACACTTTATAATACACTCTAAGGGTTATCTAGTATGGAAAAAAACAATCGTGCTATCCTCCTCCTGAATTATTACTCCTCCATTCTTTTTCCAAGTGGCTGAGACTAAAAGGAATCCAGGAATGCATGGAGCAGGAGATCTGTCATTCCCACTCCACACCAAGGTGCATTCTTGTAGGGAGAGATGGGCATTTACACTGGAGTTCTGCCATCTGCATTCAGCCAATTCTATTTTCTGGCGGTCGAGCACATGGAATTTTTAAAAAGATGATGTACTTTTTTAAAGCAGGTCACAGACTAAAATAAAGACACATTCTTGGGCTACGAGAAGTAGGTCAGGCTTTGGGGGAATGATTTGTGAAAGCTGTTGATCTGATCTTACCAGTTTTTCTTTATTAATATTTTTTGCTTCCTATGCCAGATTTGTACGCTTTTTGTAAAGAGGTCCTGCTCACTTTGCTTTAGGTGCAGTGTATTCTTCTGCTTTGGCCAGCAAACTTTTTACATTAACTTTAAAAAAAAAAAAAAAAAAAAACAAAACCAGAAAAAATATGTTCCTAGTTTTCCATTAGAGAATACTGTAGTGGAAAGTGAGGCCTCTCTGTGCTGTGGTCCAAAAGGAATAAAGCTGCTTTGTGTCACCTCATTACTCTAAGCTGATGTTTTACCTCAGGACTTCTTTTGGGGGCAGGATGGGGAAAAGGCTGATTCCACTGCTCAGCTGATGGCCTCTGCAGCACCTTCTCTGCTTAATTAATCCGTCTAATTTAGGGGAAGTATTTCACACCCTGCGCTGTGATAACGCTGTGCGTAGCCCCTACAAGAGCCGCTCTGCCAGGTGCAAGGCTCGGGGAGAGAGGGTGGATTACCTGAATTAGCCTGGCGTGCCGTCATTACCCCGTAGTTAAAGGTGGCTGTTGAAAGAGCTTTGAGCGTTACCTGATGACAGCATTGAAGGACAGGTAGCTGTGGGATGGGTGCTGGGGCTCGGGGCAGGCACCTTGCGCAGCTCGGCTGGGCTGTCCCTGTGCCGGACGAAGATGCTCGTCTTCTCCGTAGGTAGCCCGGTGCTCTGGCGAGCAGGCGGATAGCCCAGCTCCACAGCCGATGGAGTGAGGTAGCAGTAACTGAGCTGTAGAAACCTCTGGGCTTCTTCCACGGCCGAGCTTTGGAAGGGAACAGGATGTTTTTGCTCTGTGAAAGCAAATCCCAATTAATTACATTGTTTGTGGACACCTCTACAAATAATCACAACTTTGTGAATATCTGCAGTTACTGGAAGTTTCATTCCCTCCTTTTTCTCTTTTGTAACTTTTTTAAGCAGTAACTGAGCTGTAGAAACCTCTGGGCTTCTTCCACGGCCGAGCTTTGGAAGGGAACAGGATGTTTTTGCTCTGTGAAAGCAAATCCCAATTAATTACATTGTTTGTGGACACCTCTACAAATAATCACAACTTTGTGAATATCTGCAGTTACTGGAAGTTTCATTCCCTCCTTTTTCTCTTTTGTAACTTTTTTAATATTAATCCATGTATCTGTATACCTTAAATTCACAAGAGCAAAACAGCTAATGCTCATGTGCAGGTAATGTGTATGTCTCTCTCCTGTTTACAAATTTATGAAGAATAATTGACATTGCTGACATATCTGTTTAATTTTTGGTCATTTATTTTTTTCTTCCTATTTCCACATTCTCTATTTTACAGAATTTGATTCAGAAACAAAAAGGGTTCAAGACATTCTTTCTGGAATGGAGAAACCACAGGTATGTGATCCCAGATTACCACACGCACACAAAAAATAGCTAATGTGATAAGTAGATTGCATCACAACGCACTGGTGATTTCACAGGGGAGCACCTCTGAATTTTTTCCTTAGTGGATTGCTGCTGCTTTATGTATCTAACTCATTTTGCTGGGATATAAACTGGAAGCATCTCTTGTGCTGGTGGATATTTGTGGGCTCTGCCACTGCGGGCATCGCACCAGTCGCCTGTTTCCAGAGAGCAGCTCCCAGTATTCATTGTGTGATGGGGAACCCTGTGCGCTGGGGAGATTTACATAGCTCCTACCCCTTTCCCCTGGGTTTCATTTTATTTGTCATGAACAATTTATGTGTGTAATCATGATTAAGTTAAGCTAATTCTATTACTCAATGGCAATTACTATATTCTACGTTTGTCTGAGCCGTAAAAGCACATGAATTGTAATGGAACTGAATCACCATGTAAATAACTGTAATGCTGGGTGTGACCGCAGTCAGGTAAGGTTATTAATAAATCTGGTTGTAAGGCCTTTGAATGTGATGTTTTTCTAGTCTGGTGTGTCAAATGAAAACCAGAAGTGTCCTGTGGGTCTAACTGAACGGTCCAAAGAAGCACTTGAAGAAGCAGTCACGAGGCAGAGGGAGACAGCTGTGCTTTAGGAGTTTTATCTTCTTTGCTCTGTCAGAGCTCAGGCCTTTCTCTAACTGGAAAGCTAGTAAACAAATAAGCAAATAAAAATAATTAAAAAAAACTAGTTTGAAAGCTCACCT